TGTCGATACCTGTAACACAAATCGGTATAGTTTTCTTCTTCGTCATAATGCTATAAACAGATTTTTAAAACTGATCTTAGCTTAGTTTAACATATTTCGTTGTGCTGGCCTATAATTAGTTACACGATGTCTAGCGCTTTACACGATATTCCTCGTTTACAATAACTGTTCTACAAAATACTAAATGTACTTCAATTTGTATTATTAACACACTAACATATATGTACGTCACACACTCTTAAGTTCTGTTACTCTCCTACAATAATTCAAAAGTCCGGTTTCTGGGATTTAATCAGGGAAACTTCACTGTTCTTGGCGATTCTTTAGGAACAGCTATTCGCGAATTAAAAACCTATAGATGTACCATTGTCTTTTTTATTGTCATTCATTTATTTGTTTTATTTATTTATTTATTTATTTATTTATGATTGAAACAGAAGACTGTTACATACACATTAATGTAACGCACTATAAATTTTAAATGGCGAGAGTTATTTTCATATTAAATCAACTGGTTAGGGATTTCGCCACTGAAAGGCTCGGATGTTATGTACTATTTGGCGTAACTATATTTGTCTATGGTTTTCCAAATAGATTTAAGACATACAATACCATACAACCCTGTACATTATGTAAATCTTGCCGATTTCAATGATGTAAGTAGATTTCGTTATCTCTCTACCTTCTGTAGTAACAAGCCTTCTTGTAAATATTTGGACACAATTACTCTATACGGGTTAGTGTTTTGTTAGTATCATCATTGTGTTTACAATAACTTGGTATTCCTTGATCCCTCGTTGATATATTCTTTTCAGGAACAAGAGATTATGTTTTAAAATTTGACGCAATGCCTTGTTGAACCCAATATGCGACTAAGGTGAACCGTCCGAGGTATTTTCCTTAAGCTTTCGGAGTTCCCCATTGAACTAAATATACTGTAATACTATACACCGTGGTATGCATTGTGTTTCAGCGTTCAAAATGGGAATTATTGTCGATAACGATACTAGTTAGATACCAATCATAAGTATCGAATTTAAAACCGGGTATAAAAAAATAGATTTTTTCGTACGATAACATTTTCTTCGGTGACATCTCTGTATGATGAGAGGATCTTTCAATTGTTAGTTTCGCTTGACTGCACAATCACACACCTCAAGCGTCCAGACTTAACGTAACCCTGAGACGTGGACAGGAAGATTAAAATAGCCCGAAACCATGTCAGGGAACTATTACATACTTCCGCAACTTGATCAATACATCGATATACATTAATATATATCGTTACCATAAAAATGTCGTAGGAGACCACGAGTAGATAACTAGATAAATTTGTGTAAACGTTTAATAATAAAAAAAAATCTTGCTTTGAAATACAAAGAAGGTCCCTTTTACCATTGATCTGTAAAATGAATAACGATTAACCGTGTATACAAAAATTAATATCGGTTTCATTAAATGTGTAATCTCGATCTGAGATATGTAATACATAAACATGTACATATGTTTATAGTGTTTATCATGTACAGATTAAACAAGTTAGAGAATATGAAGGTGTGTGTTTACCATGTACAGACTAACCAAGTTAGAGAATATGGAGGTGTGTGTTTACCATGTACAGACTAGCCAAGTTAGAGAATATGAAGGTGTGTGTTTACCATGTACAGACTAGCCAAGTTAGAGAATATGAAGGTGTGTGTTTACCATGTACAGACTAACCAAGTTAGAGAATATGAAGGTGTGTGTTTACCATGTACAGACTAGCCAAGTTAGAGAATATGGAGGTGTGTGTTTACCATGTACAGACTAGCCAAGTTAGAGAATATGGAGGTGTGTGTTTACCATGTACAGACTAGCCAAGTTAGAGAATATGGAGGTGTGTGTTTACCATGTACAGATTAAACAAGTTAGAGAATATGAAGGTGTGTGTTTACCATGTACAGACTAGCCAAGTTAGAGAATATGGAGGTGTGTGTTTACCATGTACAGGCAAACCAAGTTAGAGAATATGAAGGTGTGTGTTTACCATGTACAGATTAAACAAGTTAGAGAATATGAAGGTGTGTGTTTACCATGTACAGACTAACCAAGTTAGAGAATATGGAGGTGTGTGTTTACCATGTACAGACTAGCCAAGTTAGAGAATATGAAGGTGTGTGTTTACCATGTACAGATTAACCAAGTTAGAGAATATGAAGGTGTGTGTTTACCATGTACAGACTAGCCAAGTTAGAGAATATGGAGGTGTGTGTTTACCATGTACAGACTAGCCAAGTTAGAGAATATGGAGGTGTGTGTTTACCATGTACAGACTAGCCAAGTTAGAGAATATGAGGGTGTGTGTTTACCATGTACAGACTAACCAAGTTAGAGAATATGGAGGTGTGTGTTTACCATGTACAGATTAAACAAGTTAGAGAATATGAAGGTGTGTGTTTACCATGTACAGATTAAACAAGATTAAACAAGTTAGAGAATATGAAGGTGTGTGTTTACCATGTACAGATTAAACAAGTTAGAGAATATGAAGGTGTGTGTTTACCATGTACAGATTAAACAAGTTAGAGAATATGAAGGTGTGTGTTTACCATGTACAGATTAACCAAGTTAGAGAATAGAGAATATGAGGGTGTGTGTTTACCATGTACAGACTAGCCAAGTTAGAGAATATGGAGGTGTGTGTTTACCATGTACAGACTAGCCAAGTTAGAGAATATGAAGGTGTGTGTTTACCATGTACAGACTAACCAAGTTAGAGAATATGGAGGTGTGTGTTTACCATGTACAGATTAACCAAGTTAGAGAATTTGAAGGTGTGTGTTTACCATGTACAGGCCAACCAAGTTAGAGAATATGAAGGTGTGTGTTTACCATGTACAGATTAAACAAGTTAGAGAATATGAAGGTGTGTGTTTACCATGTACAGACTAACCAAGTTAGAGAATATGAAGGTGTGTGTTTACCATGTACAGATTAAACAAGTTAGAGAATATGAAGGTGTGTGTTTACCATGTACAGATTAAACAAGTTAGAGAATATGAAGGTGTGTGTTTACCATGTACAGGCTAACCAAGTTAGAGAATATGGAGGTGTGTGTTTACCATGTACAGATTAAACAAGTTAGAGAATATGAAGGTGTGTGTTTACCATGTACAGATTAACCAAGTTAGAGAATTTGAAGATGTGTGTTTACCATGTACAGGCCAACCAAGTTAGAGAATATGAAGGTGTGTGTTTACCATGTACAGATTAACCAAGTTAGAGAATTTGAAGATGTGTGTTTACCATGTACAGGCTAGCCAAGTTAGAGAATATGAAGGTGTGTGTTTACTGTGTACAGACTAACCAAGTAAGTGATATTCTATCATGCAGTTTTAAAAAATAAGACATAAAACGACAAAATACCTTAAGACTTTACTTCCATGATCACATCTGAGATGTAATATATTACGTTGTAATTTACAAACATTGTTCTCATTAACTATCTGGACAGATACAAATCATCATAAATATTAAAATGCACGATTCTCGTCTCGTTTACACCTGGACTCAATATCTATTCAATAACACACACCTTCAGGACTGATAACACTGTTATGTACGTGTATACATGAGTATGCCCAGGGCGTTTACGTGAGAAATGTCGGTATACAGACACCAGATGGCGCGTGTTTCTGGCTGTGACCCTTGGCGGGTACATATTTATTTAGTTGTACATCCACGTCTAGTTGTGATTCGATGACATTCTATCGAAATATGGAATACACAATATCACCTGTATGTTTCACCTCGGGGTGACGGGTAATTAGCTGGTTGTAACACCGCCCTTACCCTTCACTATATAAACACCTATCCCCACATATCTCCCTAATTAAACACTGTCGTCTATACCTTTCTTGTCACTTTTTAGACTGTGTGTAATTTAAAATTTAACTAAACTTATCCACAGTTTTATACAATGTATTGTAATATTTTTATAACAGGCTATAACGTCATGTTTGTGGTTCCTCACATTTTTTTTACTTTTTGTAATACTTTTTTTATACATTTGATTAATTCTCAAAATCAAGTGTTATATCTCTATGAGTTGTTTTGAAGCACGATATTGAAGTATTGCTCTTACGCATTTTATCGTTTTGTAAAACAGACCCTATATTGATCATCCACACTACTTCAAGAGGGCAGTGATGGGACCGGATGTGATGGAGTGGGGTTGGGAGTAAGGACGGAGGTTGAGGTTAGGGTGGTGTTGGGTAAAGGGAGGGGTGGGACTTGGATGTGGTTGGGATTGTGGTAACTGCAGAGAGGTGTTTTTGGGACGGGATAAGGACAGAGGGATGGGGTCTGGATGGAACAGGGTGTTAACAGGGCATTTATTTGTGAAACACTCTATTTGTACAGGAGAAGAATGCTGGGTCAGAAAATTTAGTATATCAGAAATATCCTTAGGTGTCTTTGTAACCTTTGGAATATCTACACATCCATCCACTTGACCATTCGGCACACACCCTGACGGTCTTATCATATTACAACACTGTAGAAATATATTATATTGTCCAATCTCATTAAAAACCCAGCGAATAAATTATCAAAATCATTTACGTATCTTCACGGAAGGAAATTCTTGATATGTTCCGTTTTAGAGTAAAATTAGTACATAGACGAAGTAAGGACACTTGTCGATAAATGTGTCACATTCAGTGTACCAGTATGTTTATACAGTATATGCGTACGAGTAAGTAAAAGTCAGTTTCCGTGTTTCATATTTCCGCCATTACAAACTGCATGAATGTAGCCCAGTTTTTATCAACAGAGATAGAGCACGTGTGAATACATTATAGTATGCGACACATGGTGTGCAATCAAACTATCAATAATTATGTACAACAAAATAAATGAAATACCTGACATGTATACTTGAATGTGATAATCATACATGTATATTTTTATATTTAGATGACTTTTCTGTAAAAACGAAACAGGAAAATATTTATACATACCGTAATTGTCGCAGTAATTGTCGTTTTAATCCACTCTTATGAGGAAAGTCGATAAACCAGCGCAAAATCCCTTAAAACGAAACAAAGTCTGTACCACGATACACTGAGCCGGTGTATGTACATGTACTTGAATAGTGCTCCCAACAGGATGAAGCCAATAGGCGAGAACGCAGATCTGATTGGTGGAGATCTGTCACATGGTCTAGTGAAGGAATTATCATTATTGATATGATAGTTTTTCTCTGTCTGCTTGTACGTGGCCAGGTATGAAATTCGATCGATAATTAGACAGGTGGTTTACATCGAGCGTTTCCAAATCGATATTTACCTGGACATGTATCGATTGAAATGAAGCACTGAACACGACGTACAATAAAACTGTATTCAAAGAAATGGCTCTGCAGTATTGATATTTCGAACTACCAGCGTAACTTTGTCATCAGAAAGATTTTTTTTTGTATGTGCCAATATACATTTGATAGCTTAACTTCGGTGCATCTAATTATATTATCAGATCACCAACTCAATATACATAATACTAATCTTTTGATCAATGTTTTGTCGAATTTATATACATTGTATATCTGATTGTCAGAAGGAGTATGACCGGCGAAGAATTACCTATCAAAATATAAACAGGTGTAGAATTTGACATATGTTAACTTAGTTCAGTGATTTTGATAACCGATACTGATAAATTCTATTTATTTAATATTCTACTGGATATATAAAGTATGATTTATAATTATAAAAAGCATTAATGAATAACAACCTCCGCTTTTAGTAATTTCTGTTTGGAAATTCAAGAATATTACCAGTTTCTCCCCTTAAGGAGAATAAGACTGAACATAAGGTCCTATACAGAACAGGGTTGAACTACACCATAAGGCTGAGTTACAGGAGCTACAATAGAAAAATACTGGTGTACAGGAACAACAGGAGCATGGGCTACAGGCGAATACAAGTCTAAACTACTGGAGCTACAAAACAGGGTTGAAATATATGAACAATACAAGAATAGGTCTGAACTACGGGAGGCGATAAAAGCGAAAGGAAGGTAACATTGAGCTACATGGGTTATAGGAGGATAAGACTAGGCGATAAAAGCGAAAGGAAGGTAACATTGAGCTACATGGGTTATAGGAGGGTAAGACTAGGGGATAAAAGCGAAAGGATGGTAACATTGAGCTACATGGGTTATAGGAGGATAGGACTAGGCGATAAAAGCGAAAGGAAGGTAACATTGAGCTACATGGGTTATAGGAGGATAAGACTAGGCGATAAAAGCGGAAGGAAGATAACATTGAGCTACATGGGTTATAGGAGGATAGGACTAGGCGACAAAAACGAAAGGAAGATAACATTGAGCTACATGGGTTATAGGAGGATAGGACTAGGCGATAAAAGCGAAAGGAAGGTAACATTGAGCTACATGGGTTATAGGAGGGTAAGACTAGGCGATAAAAGCGAAAGGAAGGTAACATTGAGCTAAAGCGGAAGGAAGATAACATTGAGCTACATGGGTTATAGGAGGATAGGACTAGGCGACAAAAACGAAAGGAAGATAACATCGGGCTACAGGGGTTATAGGAGGATAGGACTAGGCGACGAAAACGAAAGGAAGATAATATTGAGCTACATGGGTTATAGGAGGAGATGACAGGAACTACATGAGTTGTAGGAAGATGAAGATGAAATACAGGTACAAGAGCGATAGGAGCCGTAAGAAGGGGTATCTATGAGAAAATATAAGGGTGAACTACAATTGTTGTATGAAATGAAGATTTTACTTTTACAAAATGATTATACGGCAGAGCACAGGAGCTATAGGAGAGTAAGGCTGAATTGCGCAATAGGGATATAAGACAGGGCTGCAGGGTTTATAGGAAAATACAGGTGCACTACAGGCGCTACAAGGTGCGAAGTCTGAACTACAAACACACACCGGGCTAAAGCAGAACGAGACATTGGTACATAAACTATATGAGAACAGGATGAGATAGAGGACCACAAAACTACATAAGAATCAGGGTGAACTGCAACTTAAAATGTATTATGAGAGAAAAAGAACTTAACTATATGATAATGAGCAAAGCTGAGCAATACGAGAACAGGACTTGATAACACTGTAGTAATAGCGAATATAGGAGTAAGGCTGAGTAGGATAAGGCCGAACTACAGAAGAATAAATATACGTCAAATATAGCATTTTATTAGGCTGAAAAAAAAAAACAAAAACAAAAACAGTCACAAAAAAACACACAATGAATTACGATACTCTAAAAGAAAATCTGGAATGTTGTGATTTTAACTCCAGCTCTAAAATAGCCCTAAGAAATATTAAAAAATTAAAAAAGTCAACGACTGACTAAGATTGATAATGGTACAGTATGTCACTGATGTTTTCGAACCTTTCTTCTTTATATACAGATGGCCATAAGATTATGATTAAAGGGAGGCAACTCGTCTAAAGTTTACGGTTAAATTAAAGCACCATATCGGCTTTCTTAAATCTGTATCGAATTGGCATTTGTTGATTGTCTTTTAAATGGTTTTAGCCACGATTTTTCATTATGAAATATTTCTGTTTGAAATGCTGTGATGGTGTATATAGTCCGCGTTATCCTTGGGGTTGAAATGAATTACTTAATTGAGAGGGTTTTTCATAGTTAATAGAAACGATTTTACATCTTTATTTTTTATTTCATTTATTTTCATTTTTATTTGCTTTATTTTCTTGAAAAAAAGTCTAGATTTTTCTACAGATCTGTATATACATCTATGGATCAACAATCTTTGTACTTTTTATCTATGAATTATTCGGAAATAATTGTAATAAAATATTCCAACATTTTGTTAATGAAAACTAAACATATGATTATTAACTCAAAACAATTTGTTTTTAATATTAAAAGAAAATGCTACGGATTCATAAACATCACAACACTACACTGCCGGCTTGAAATCGGGACAGCATGTATATGCTATATAGTTGAATCCATGTAAATTAGGGTCGTTGACTACAATTCACTCTTAAGAGAGAATGCTGCTCCATGCCTGCGCGTGCCGATTTTCCCCCTAAATTAATCTAATAGTTGCTGTATTTCTTAACGAAGATATTTTTTATTCATTCTTGTCATATGATTTGTGAAAGAACAGATGAACTACACATTCATATAGCGTGCTCCGACCAGGAATTGAACCTGGGTCTCTAGTGTGATAAGCCAAAAAAAGCATGCTTTATACAAGCCAACCCGACCCACTCCTTTTACAGCTGATTCTAAATCTCAACTTGCCAATACGTTTCCTAATATTTCTAATAACTAATGCTTGTTAAGTTTGCAACGCAAATCATGTCAAATTGAATCGGAATCATATCCGATTTTAATCAGATGTGTTCCCGACAGTTATAAAGTTTCCTATCTATTTTATATAGTTTAGCGTGAACAGCAATTAGGCTTAGTGTTCGTGTGGTCCAGACACTAGTTCTTCGGGATGAGCGCGATACCAAGACAAGTTCCAGAAGCATGAACATACAAGTAAGAAAAGACTTTAAGTTGTTCATCAAATTCTTGATAAAAAACATACTTTTCACTATTGAAGAGACTCAAATATATTCAAATAAATGTAGGCGATTACCGTGAAGATATAACTTAAACAAGTAATGGAGATTAGAGATATTTTATTTCTCACATTATCGATATAACCACAATGGACTTATAAAAGCACCGAAATTCAATTCTCATGCCAAACATATCACACAAATCTCTAATGGACAAACACGACAAAACCCCATTTCAAACACGATGTCATGACGTCACTACCGCAATCCCTTCATCAATGACACAAGGAACCTGAAAACAAAACAGGTAGATTTTTATATACTTTTTGTATCAGAAGCAGCAGATAAGATCCGTTATCCTATCGTATGTAATGTTAGTTATCTGATATACCTTGCATAGTGGATATTAAATTGGGTCACAAGCGTGATATACTTTTACTTAAAACTGAAATAGACTAAATGCGTGTAGAAATGTCTGACCAATTCAAGAAGGGACAGATTCTGTCGGAACGGAATATACATACCTAGCGTGGAACTGGGTACCAATAGTTGATTTGACGCTGGATGCACAGTGGAAATAAGGCCATGTGTTTCTCCTTGAATTGATGGCAGAACTTCCTCTCCCAGTATAGATCATCCTGAGGCAGTTCTTTTGTCAACATCACAGACAACTCTAGACCATAGTTAAACAGCAACATGGCATTGGACCTCTCGGCGAAATTAGCTTTGTCCCTCTTACGAGATCCGGAAGGTTTCCATAAATATCTTCTTTTGGCCAGACAGGGAGCAGTCCCACAGTGACGACACAGGGAAGGACCTTTACAAGCAAATATAACCATTTAAAAATATGCCAACATAACTTCAAAATGCAAGGGTTCTCCCCGCGATAAACATCTATAGTTTGATAAAATCGAAGGCTGACTGATACATCTAAGGTATTTCCGGTCGACAAACCTGACAGTTAGACAGTTTCACCCGTAAATGTAATTTGAAAACGAAATAATCATTCTGATCGTACTTTATACGCTCAGCAAAGTGTATTTTGATGTACGCATACATGTAAGTAGTTTCTAGAAAGATGTGATAGAAAACAGATAAATTACAATAGAAAAGTAAATATCTCCTAATATTCATATATCGTATATGATGTCAGTTTCTGAGACATAATTGACAAATCAACACAAAAGGAATGTGTTGCGAGAGCTCAGATGGTTAGAGCGAGTTGTCTGCAAGCTTTACATTCTGTCTTACATAAATTTGTATCGAAAAGTGTTATTCCTTTGTGTGTTGTTAGTACAATCTTCAGTTGAAGATCGGAGTTTTTTTTCCACGAGTATTTGCTCAGGAAGCCGAGAAACGTTCTGGTCAGTACTGACGTGGTCGTGTCCTTCAGGGGCGAGATACTTAACTCTAATTTCTCTTAATGGAACGCGACGGGCCTTCCGCACGATGACCATTAAGGTATTGTCGTAGATATCGGCTGTTTCGGCATCGAGAAGTAAGACGTCTGTAGCATGCCATAATTTTCATTTTTCCTTTTTTCTCGTGAACCAGATCAGATTATCTAACTAATTTTTAAAGGATAAGGACATAATCCGGAATTATTAATTGCCGATTGGCTTACCTCCCTTACCACACCATTATCTCCATACCACCCATTATAAAGCATGTATACAACAGTAGCTATACATGCTATTACACCCAGCGTCAAAATGACCCTGGCCGTTCACTGGGCGATTAATTCAGCAAAGAAGTTGACATACTTCAAATGTATCAATACTAGCAAGTACAAAGGGTATTTATTGTTAACTACTATATCTACTTAAGTGAAGATAAAGAAAGATAAGGTAAGTATTACTTTTACTTACTAGTTTTCCATTCCAGAAATGTGGAAAAGATGATTGAGGATTTCTCTTTGATCGCGTTTCCAACCACATAGCCCAACAAAAGGGGTAGAACCATGAGTAGGACGGATGTGAAAATCCCATTTATATTACGCTGAAATAAAGTTTAGATTGTTTAAAAAACAATTTACTTCAATGCACAAATGGCAAGTGGCATTTATTTCACACGATTATGCCTCATTTCAAGTAACAGCTCAGTTTGTATATCCATATTCGGAGATAAATATACTTATTTATAAATATGATAATGATATAATACTTACCATGATCAGATCGGTTAGCGTTGGGCAGACATTTTCGATTTCTCGTCCGGAAAAATAGGAAAGCAATCTTTTGAGATACCCTGGCTCTGGTTCAACACTAAAAGCACGAGGCAATTAATAAAGGTAAGATAAAATTGTTTGACACATCTAAGAGCACCATTAATTACCATAGCAATGTAACTGATGTCAAAAGTAATTTAATGAAAAACTACTTACCATGTGTACTCCCGATAAACAGCAGGACCTTGGTGCATGGCGCTCAGCATTACCACGAATATCAAAAATAACTTGATATCCATTGTGGTAATACAAGATTTAACACTGAAATTGCATAAGGGAGAGGCTAATCAACTCCGCCATGGTCGATTGCTAGGCAGCATAGTAACAGGAATGTGACGTCACAGATTGACTTTCTTTTTTATTTCTAATGACGTCATGCTTATTGTTTTCGTTATGCAATGATTTCCATACAGGTGATGATGAAAAAACCCACAAAAACCAATGACCCATAGACTGGCAAGGAGTGTGCATTTACTTCCATCCTTGGACTATTTTTTACTTATGTGATAGCACGGTAAATGATTTTAGCGATAAGAAGTCAAAATTGTTGTCAGAGTAGACTATCGTGCTGTATCTTATTCTCCTTGTACTAGGTTTTCAAGAGTTTTTGGGTAAATCTTTCTTATGATCATATTTTGCCATATTTTTTATTGAATTGGGGTTGGATTATGATTATGTTGACATGTTGGTATTTTTGCTGTTCCTTTGATGCGATCCAATATTAGTTCATCGACGTCTGTTCGATATTGTAAACTTGTTCATCGTCGTTTGTTCGATATTATAAACTTGTTCATCGACGTCTGTTCGATATTATAAACTTGTTCATCGACGCCTGTTCGATATTATGAACTTGTTCATTTACGTTTGTTCGATATTATGAACTTGTTCATCGTCGTTTGTTCGATATTATAAACTTGTTCATCGTCGTTTGTTCGATATTATAAACTTGTTCATCGACGTCTGTTCGATATTGTAAACTTGTTCATCGACGTCTGTTCGATATTAAACAGTTGTTATAGATAATTTGAAAAGTCGTTCATCGACGACAAATTCACATTTCAAATTTGTATTCGTCGACGTAAGATCAATATTTATCAAAGGTCATTCATCAGCGCTAAACCGACACTATTTTTTTTTAAAGTCGTTATTTAAAATTGATAAAACGTCAGAATGGTTATAACCTGCTAATATCGTTTGTTATTGCTGGTTAGTATTATCAATTGTTTCAGAATAAGATTCCTTATTGTTCACAGCGAAATATCAATAAATTGATAACGCATTTCTCTTTCAAAATAAAAAAAAATGGGATAAAATAATTTGAAAAGTCGTTCATCGAGGCCAATATTCACATTTCAAATTTGTTTTTGTTTTACGTAAGATCAATATTTATCAAAGGATTCATCAGCGCTAAACAGACACTATTTTTTTTAAAGTCGGTATTAAAAATTGATAAAACGTCAGAATGGTTATAACCTGCAATATCGTTTGTTATTGCTGGTTAGTATTATCAATTGTTTCAAATAACGTCAGTTCACAGCGAAATATCAAAAATTGATAACGTTTCTCTTTCAAAATAAAAAAAAATGGGATAAAATAACTTATTTGACCCAGTCTCTCTGTACCCAGATAATCAGACCCGTACTTTATACAAAATTGAATCTTTTCAACCCAATGATGCCTTACATCAGATACTATCAAAATCTCTTCATTCAGTTTTTAATCTTTCACCCGTTGTATGTTGCCCTGGTCCTCAGTCCGAAGTGGTTCAGACCCAAAGTTTATATAAATCTGAAATTTGAGTACCCTTAAATACATGTAATTGGATTATTGTATGGAAACAAGCATATATATTTGATACAGTAGTTATCGGTAAGTTGTTTTTAATTCGTTTGTAATGTTGACCATACTGGTCATTCCCTCTCTCATCACTGTGGAATGGCTCCAATTCAAACCAAAGTGATCTCGTATGAAGGACAAAGGTAATTTCTCAGAGAAGTTCAATGCCACGATGTTGTCCAGCTATGGTCTAGTGTCTGTGATATTGACCCAAGAACTGCCCCGGGATGACCAGCATCCAGCAGGAAATCAACTATTGATGTCCAGTTCCGCGGCTATTTTTATTTAATGCATCACTCCCCTGGTAAACATTTTCACAAACTCGACAAGCAATTCCTTTACATTTTACTTTATTGGCATCCAGTTTTGGTTAATGGGAAGAAGTCGTTTGAAAGTTTTCAACTTTGACCCCTGTAACTTTGAAAACTGTTAAAGGAAAGTTTCTTTCATAAATTTTAACTTTCTCGCAGGAAGCTATCATACTTCCAGGTATTAGAAACTCGTTTAAAAGTTTTAACAAATTTTACCCGTGGACTTTGGTTTATTTCACCCCAGGAACCTAGCAGCTAAATACAATGATCCTTGATAAAATTTTACCTGTGACCTTTGTTTTATTTCACCCAAGGAACCCAGCCAAATACCAAGACTCTAGACCCACTGCTTAATTAGAAAGGTTTTAACACAGTTGGCATCGGTGACATGAGTACGGGTCAAGGTCATCCTTTTTTCCGAAGTTAATTTTCTTCATCCCATGATCCTTTCAGTTGGTGTCGCGATTTTCGTCGGTTATTTAGTCATTTGATTTTTTAAAAATAAATTTGACCCTTAAATATAGGTCAGTCATTTTCGGGAACTTTTATGGCTTTATTCATTCCAGATAAGCAATTACGTGTACTTTGATTAATGAGACGTCATTTGACGGGAAAGATTGTAGATGTACTATGTACCATTAGGATCATGCGAGTGCACCATTCAGATGTTACTTCGTTCAGAAAATTCAGAAGATAAAGTGATGTTGATCACATGGTACTTCCTTTCAATTTTAGTCAGCTATCAAGTGGTTCTTTTGAACAAATGCACCCATTTTTTTCTTTTAAGTCAGTCATATAGCATGTATATTTCAATAAATTGTTCCATTTTAATTAAGGCAATATCGTATTTCTTATTTTGAATAGTGTCAATTAGTTTGAAAGAAACTCTAAGTAGTTTGTTTCATCCGTTTTGATTGATCACTCAGTGCTCCATGATCAGTTTTAACTTCATTGAGTGTTTAGTCATTCATACAACCATACTCTTGACACTATGTTGTACTTCGGTCACAATCTGTGGAGATATAATTGCAAGTCTTAACCATACCCACAAACCATTAAGAATTACTTAATTGTGCTTATTAGTATTTTGTGTTCTGTTCCAGCTTGTGTAATTTGAAAAGCACAAGAGATGAAATCCATGTTATCTTAAACCCTGGTTGTTTGTACCGATTACTAACGTATCACTTCAAGACTAAATGATATCCAAGGTGTCTGTGGTAATCATTCTTCCTAAAACACCAATTTGAAAATTATGTCAAAATCTGTTAGCAAAGGAGCAGTAAAATCAAATGTGTCTGAATCAAGAAATACCATTGGAGCTTGGGTAAAGAAATTCTTGAAATAAAGAAAGACAAACTTAAATTCCCATCTGGCATCACATTTATTACTGTAAAATAGGTCTTTACTGCACCAAGGCTGCGGCAGTTGCAGATTCGCTGCAATGAGAAACAAAAACATATTAGTTAAGTTTGTAGCTTCAAATATTATCTAAACAACAGAGAAGGAAAAGTGACAGTAAATAAACAAATCTCTTGCCTAGGAACAGTTTCCAAACATTAACAAGGCACAAAACTACTACTTCAAGGTGGGAGAAAAAGCTTAAATATTCATACTGATCAATTTCATTGTTAAGATAGAAGAAACATTATAATGGCTTTCATGATCTTATTACCGACATGAATTAAGCTTCTACTTACTATTTCCAGTTGGGTGCTAAAACCCTCTTCCTCTTGTAGTATCTCGCCAGACGGTGAATTCTGCTTTCCACCAGAATAAGACGGAATTTAGCATCCCTGTCCTGAAACCAAAACAGAAATAATTCAGACATTCATTTCTCAGTATTTACCCTCACAAAAATTTTATTTCACATTCAATTTCAACCACCATTGGATTCCAAATCCACTGCTTGATACCCTCAGATGGCCCACTGCACAAAACTTCAGCACCAGTTGCCATGGCAACTTATGTTTACAACATGGACACCACACGTGTTATGTTGTAAATAGCATAGGCAGATCATCACTGGTAACATACAACTAACTCTGTCTAAAGTAAGTACTGTCTTTCAAGATTGTGTATTTAAACATAAACTATTTATTTTTTTTTTGAAAACAAGTATCCTTACTTTTGCTAACATCTTATGAAAGTTGAATAAAAAATTATTTCATTAGTAATGCATGGAAATGTTTTTACAAATTAGTCAAAGTCAATTAAGATGAATATCCCTCTTCATTAAATTAAATGATGGAAAAATATCTGTTTCTGATAACCCTATGATACAAAGTGCATAAAATCAGGTGCTTTACCATCAAGGTTCTACCAATGATCGATGAACAAATTAGCTTAATGTATCAAAATATTTGTCCGGTCCAAAATTTCATTGAGTCCTAGTACAGAAATTTGGTATGGATGTTTTTTATTGCATAACCTATGTGTTGTTGATAGCTTCTCAATCCTTTTTTGAAACACTTTTGATTTCTAATTGATAATTGCAAATTTGGTGAGGGAAGCATTACCTTCCTGTTGCGTTCCATGTGTTTACGGATGTTCACAGCCTTCTTGATGAGGTGGTAGAGATCCTCTGGGATATCAGCGGCCAGACCCTTGGCCTTCAGGATACGTAGGATCTTGTTTCCTGTTACAAATCTGACTTGTGCAACTCCATGGGAGTCCCTCAGAATGACGCCTACAAAACAGGTAGTAAATCAATAGTCTACCATCTCGCACCAGGAACCAATTTGGGTTATTTATGAGATTTTCATTTCAATTTTGGTCAGGAATCACTCTGGGCCAATTTTTTTTCGGGATTTTAATGCATACATTTCCTGAAAATTTCATAGAAATACTCTGATGTACTGTATTGTAGGAACTATATAATCCACTTTCTGACCCAAAATTATCTCTGCAAATTAATGAAGAAAACATCTGTTCAAACCAAATTGATCACTTCAAGGAAGCCTGACAAAATAAGCTTTTCCTACACTGATTGACAAAACAAAATTCCTGACCTTTTCCCCACAAAAACTTATTTTTTCAAAAGATATTTATATCTTTACAAGATATTCCAAAACTGAATTAACAAGAGTAGGGTTCTTAAAGTATTTCCTTGACCAACTCACCACAAAAAGGAAGATTTAGATCATTCCTTGACAAATATGACAAGAGAAGGGATATGTTGGTTTTATGTTTCAAAACATCATTGATAATACAGGAGTTACAATCACTTTTGCTTTATGCACCCCTGGAATATTTCCTCGTAAAATTGAAGGGACAACTAAGTAATTTGATAGGTCTAAAACAGGCTGCTGAGAAAAATCGACCAATCTCAGGCATTTATGTTCATTTGAAGATTGCATAGGAGCGACACCCAACTTCAAAGTCAGTACAATATACTGTTGTTCAACCTCCAAATTTATTTGATGTATATCAAAATCAAACGAGTCATCTTATCTTATTCACAAGATGTCATACACGAATCCGATTTTGCAATGACATGTTCCAGGGATGTAAGAGAACAATAGTGAGTATAACCCATGGAGTATTGACAATTGGTATACAATAGACATTATATGATTGACTTCATAAATAAAGGAAGAAGCTTGTCAACAAGCATCATTGAAAAAAATAATGTCCAACTAAATACAAACCAATCTGAGATGGGGTGAGCCCCTTCTTTGCCAGTTTAAATATTTGTTCCTGCACATCATCTGATGTCAGTTTCAGCCACTGAAAATTCAAACAAAAGTACTGTATCATCATTGTTGATATAACACCACAATCAAAAGCATCCTTTACACTAGCTACTGGTTGATGGCCCTAATGACTTTTAGGTGTTGACAGGCTGTTAAGATTGTAATAGAATAGTTTACAGCAGTTGCTAATTTACATAAATATTTCATAATGGAAAAATATTTTTCTGTCATCATGACACCTCCGATTGGAGTTAAGAAAAGCATTGAGAAGGTTTCATGAAAATCACTTACTGTAGGGACTGATCTTCTGTAGGGAAGAGCTGACTGGGAAATACCCTTTCTGAAAAACAAAAGAATGAAATAATCAAATTGTTGTTCTGTCGGTTAATATCCCCAATTTATTAAACTGAATTAACTGCTAATAAATTGATGGTACACCATGTTTTCACATATCATAATATTACCATTAGAGCAGGTTAAATTGTCTGACAATCAAAAATTTCATTTTGCCAAATATCCCCAAGATAACCTGAAACAACTGGCAGTACTTCTTTTCCGACAAAGTTATAATGTCATTAATGATAAGTTAACCAATCAGTTTTCTTCAGTGACGTCTTTGCATTCCAATATAATCTATCTTTTAGTGCAGCTTGAGGTGGTTCAACGGTTGAACAAATTACAAATTGAAATAATTAAACTACATTATCAATGAAATTAAAATTAAGACTTCACATTGTGTCATATATCTTGTTGCCAAACATGCATTTTATTTGCACCGTCTTTTTATGCTGCGAACAATCACGGTGTATACTTTCAATATTATACAAACGAGATGGACATTCAGCTTATTAAATACCAACCACTGATGCGGCAAAATCACCATCTATATACCCCCCCCCTTCTCCCCAAGAGAAAATAAAAAGAACTTCATGAAATCAAGATATTCGCAACATCATTACGTCTATAATCTCACTATTACTGTCATTTATAGAGAATAACTATTACAGAGTGGTAAAGATTGACAAAACAGTCATTTTAGTACAGCAGTGTCTAACCATGGCGAAATTTTTTAGAATTAGAATCAAGTCACCCACGTGGGACGAGACTAAATTTTATGAAGAGCTGTGGATCAAAACATGTTATATACAGGGTATAATGTGGTGACATTGCTTAGTACATGGTTTTACCTATCAAGCGAACTTAATTTTATTAATGATTTTAAGACGGGAAAGTGTTTATTTTCTGTTTGAGGCATACCCGGGATTGTGCATACGACCCATGATGGCAGCGTGAGGAGAAAGGCCCGGATGACGGAAGTGCCGACTGAAGCGACCTCCTTTAAAGGGAAGTAACTGTATAGTTAAAGATTGTCCACACGTGAAAAGCAAAAACAAGTGAAATGTTGAAGCGCCAAACATTGAATTAAACTGCATTACAAACTGTTTCGTCATTCTAGGGCAAGTCAATGATGCTTAGGACCAAAATTCAAAGATCGTAGGCGCCTGAGGAAAGTCCAAAATGGTCGAAAGAAATTAAAAATCTAGTTGGAGAGGTGCGCCAGTCTGGAAATATTGTATGTGCAGGTATCCCTTGCAGAAAATTGGAAAAATCTTGGTTAAGGTATCTTAGAATACTGAACGAAGTCATGTTAATCGAAATCTCTTTGGCTCATGTATCTTTAACTCAATAATTGCAAATGGCAAAGTTCATGAAAGTAAAAAACTGCGGAAAACATAAATTATATGTGCTTTGTGAAATGACAAGACAGAATGATCAAACTAGCATGATAATTTTAATTTGAGGGAATTCGAAGTAGCAAATATATTTCATTCTTAATCAAATAAAAGAATCCATAGTACAAAATTGAGAATACGTGATTTTAAATAAAATTAGTCGGGAAGTTTTACGTCCACGATTTTCATTAAAAATACAATTTTGAATGTGAACTGATATCGCTCAAGTTCAATATCCCATAAATGCGATGATTAGTGACTTTTGGTAAAAATAGATTTTTGAAGTTAGCGATTTCCTTTATCCATCAGGGCTATAATTAAATATGTGATTTGTGAATTTTCTTAACGCTATAGAAACTCGTATATACCGTGCACGACCACCACCTCGACCTTGCGAAAGTATGAGGACCGGACACTGTAGGTTGAAGCGCCTTAAAACTAGCTCAGGTTAAAAAAATCAGATTTGCTCCTAAATTATTTTTGTCTTACTGTTCATATGGCACATGGATCCCATCGATGTTCTGAGACTAATGCTGTATTAGAATGTTCAAATACTTCGATACATTTTCCGGTAGCAATGTCACGTATAATCTGACGTTTTAAGATCAAATAACTGTTTGGATCAATTCTCGTCTTTAAAAAGTGAAGTCTCGCATAAATAAGTTGTTTGACTGTTTGGGGACCGGAAACTCTTTCTGTTCCGATCTTTGGGGTCTGCAGGGTTCTCTTAAGTTCTGTTAGGCATCTTTCTGTAATTTGGAGTCTGAGAGCTGTCCCTTCCGTTTTTTTTTTTTTTTTTTGGGGGGGGGGGGTATAGGGAGCTTCCCCACCGAAATTTTTAGTATTGGCAACAAACACACGACCTCCTCCCCCCTCCCCCCATCCCTGCATTTTGAAGTATTAAGAGATTTCCCTCCCTTTTCTGGTATCATGAGCTTCTAACTCCCGTTCCGTCCGGGAGAACCTTCCCCGTCCTGTTTGAGGTATTAAGAGTTTCTATCTGTATTTTTGTATATTGGGAGGTTCCTCTTCCCGTTTGGGGTCTTGCATGAAGCTTCTCCATCCCTTCTGAGATAATGAGAGTTTCTTCCTCACGTTTGGGGCACTGGAAACTTCTCCCTTCCGTGACTAGGGGACTGGGAGCTGCCTAAGATACCACCAGAACATGTGTGTCTGGAGTCCCTTGGGGAGTATCCCCACCCGCTGTTTGTTTGGGAGCTTCTCCCTTCCGTTGCATTGGCTATCTCGGGAGGTGGTGCTTTCTACCGCTGTCTGGGCTCTGGAAACTCTTTCTATTCCGATTTTTGGGAGTCTACATGGTTCTCTAAACATCAGTTTGGGATATTGGAGTTTCTCCTTTCCTCCTTTCTGGGAGCTGCCCCTCTCGATTGGGGCATTGGGGACTTCCCCTGTGGGACGTTGTGATTTTCACTTCTTCTGTTTAGGGCATTCAGAGCTTTCCCATACGGAAGGGGTATTAGGAGCTTCTCCAACCCGTATGGGATATTAGGAGCTTCCCTGTCCTATCTGGGGCATTGGAAGCTTCTCAATCAAATATGGGATATTAGGAGCCTCTCCATCCCATTTGGAGTATTGGAGAGCTTCTCCATCCGGTTTTAGGTATAGGAGAGCTACTCCGTCCAACCTGAAAGAATTCATTCTTCCTTTGTTCCAGGTGGCTGGAGTGGCTTCATCTGTCAAATGGTTGGTGTCTCTCCCCCAACCCACATCTCCAACAACTAAACCCAACCAATCCATCGCTCAGGATCTTGAGACAAGGCGGCTTTGTATTTTCATTGAGGTCGATGTGTGGAGATTTTCTATCCTAACATCCTCTCAGATATCTTTTACATTTATAAGTCACATTGTAATCTGTCGTTGTGTTATGTTATTTCATTTTCTATTCCTGTGGTTACAGTAGGTCATATACCATGGGTTTGTAACAGGAAGTAAAGAAATATTACATGGTGGTTAAAAAATCTTTGAGCAACCAAGGCCAGAAGTCCAAAAATTGTTACTTGACTATAATAATCTAGATTGTATAAACAATAAGCATAAGTGTGGGGTTCTTGGTGGAGGGAAAGACTGTTCCTTCTCTCTTTACTGCTCTTAAATATGAATATGTGATGCAAAGCATTGGAAAAGAAAGATAAAAAAACAGAGAAAGCAGAGAGTGAGCAACTTTCACATAATTTTAATGAAATGAAATGTCATTTATCTAACATAGTTTCAAAATTTGCTCTCAGTACACAATAACCTTAAACCACTAAATCATTCATACCTGAAGACACACCACAACCAAACATTGAACTCTCAGATTTCAAACTCTCCTGTCTCGGTGTGTGGACAAACCACAACCAAACATTGAACTCTCAGATTTCAAACTCTCCTGTCTTGGTGTGTGGACAAACCACAACCAAACATTGAACTCTCAGATTTCAAACTCTCCTGTCTCGGTGTGTGGACAAACCACAACCAAACATTGAACTCTCAGATTTCAAACTCTAATGTCTCAGTGTGTAGACAAACCACAACCAAACATTAAACTCACTCAGATTTCAAACTCTCCTGTCTCGGTGTGTGGACAAACCACAACCAAACATTAAACTCACTCAGATTTCAAACTCTCCTGTCTCGGTGTGTGGACAAACCACAACCAAACATTGAACTCTCAGATTTCAAACTCTAATGTCTCAGTGTGTAGACAAACCACAACCAAACATTAAACTCACTCAGATTTCAAACTCTCCTGTCTCGGTGTGTGGACAAACCACAACCAAACATTAAACTCACTCAGATTTCAAACTCTTATGTTTCAGTGTGTGGACAAACCACAACCAAACACTAAACTCACTCAGATTTTAAACTCTCCTGTCTCCGTGTGTGAACAAACCACAACCAAACACTAAACTCACTCAGATTTCAAACTCTCATGTCTCAGTGTGTAGACAAACCACAACCAAACATTAAACTTACTCAGATTTCAAACTCTCCGGTCTCAGTGTGTGGACAAACCACAACCAAACATTAAACTCACTCAGATTTCAAACTCTCATGTCTGGGTGTGTGAACAAACCACAACCAAACACTAAACTCACTCCGATTTCAAATTCTCATGTGTCGGTGTGTGGATGAACTACAACCAAACATTTAATTCAGCTACTCACCCATAACTCAAACTTTCATGTTGTCCAGTTAGACCAACATAAAGCTTACATCCAATACACTCTCTGTGAACTACAATTCACAGACTTTCTCTTACAAAAGAAAATCAACACCTATTAAATATGACCTTTTGCGATAGACCATCTTACTCCTATTATGTTATAGATCTGCAAACAGGAGATTCAAAATACTCTAAGATCTTAAAATATTCTTCATTTTCTTTGCTTTTATCAATTTTCTCACAAAATTCACAAACCTCACAAAATTTGGTTTTTGAATTTGTACCGATACAGAAGAACAACATGTTATGATTAATTCGCGATACACGAGTCTATGTCAAGGCAAGCTTTAAAATAGCATCACATCTCTAGGTCACCACCAACTTCATGGATACCAACTCCAGATCAAATGCTGTCATGGAGAGTCCAAACACGGCCACAGACAGTCCAAATACGCCTAAGGATGTTCTAATGACAGCCATAAAAATTTCAAATACAGCAAATGATGGCATTTGTCAAGCTGTACTTTAATCTAGCTCAGATGGTGTTTTGTTCTACTGTGTCATACTTTCTTCTTCTGAAATGGGAGAAAAATAATCTATGATGACATCATCAGAAGTAAATATTATACATCATAATAAAAGTCTATACTGGGATTAAACGCAATAAGAAAACGTCATAATTTTCCCATGCAAACTCCTGATGTAACAATCAATATTTGCTGATAAGAGGAGATAACTCTGTAAGCTTTGTTGTTAAATACATGTAATTATGAGTTTCATAAATCCAAATCTAAGATTGTACAAAAGACACAAAAGTGAAAAGCACCTTTTAATGAAATTTTAGAGTTAGAAGAAGTAGAGCCAAACCTAAGATGTATTTAAATTCCTGTCTTGTGAAGTTGATATTCTGACTTTCTGATTTTGGTTCGACTCTCAGGATTTTAGAGTTGAATCACTGACTCTTGACATTTTGGTCTAATAAATACCCTGGTCAATATCTATGTCTTTAAAACTGAAAGGTATTTGGCCATGAAACATATTGAGATTTAACAATTATGAAATACCTATAGATTTGACCCACAATTCTTCACTCAAAGAGACATTTTCCATACCCTCAATTCCTTAAGTATTTTTTCTTCAGAGAAATGAAATAGAAATTGGTGCCAATTTTTCAGTTACTTGTTGTATACTTGCAGATGATATTTCATATTAAAGGAAGACATTTTGCCCATTTCTCTTAACCAGTGCATCTTTCCCTAATTAGGCACATGTCATAAATTCATGCACATAAATGGGGTAAGTACCAAATTTGTTGTGTCATTTTGCAGTCAATAAGATTGCCAGTCAAAAACAACAATACCCCAATGTGCAGCTTTTTACACAACATTAAGAAATAAAACCATTCCACATCTGAGTAATACAAGGCCTTTGGAATGTATAAGCGAAATGGAAACCCACGAAATTCAATTTTTCTTGAAATTCATTATGCAAATTTAGCTAACCAGATTGAAAGTGATAAGAAACTAAAACAAAAGTGTAATTCCTAATAAGACAATTTTACTTACTTGAGCTTTTTTGATTTTCTTCTTCAGAGATGTAATGTCAACTTCTGTACCTAAAAAGACAACATAGAAAATTTGTCGTTTACACAAAGCACATCCTCTAATTTTCAAATCTCTAAATGCTATGCCATTGTATACAGCCTGTATATAGGGCAGTTATCAAAACCAAGAGGCAAAGAAAATCAGAGACAAAACTAAATTTTGTCTTTTCTGCGGTTTAATGGTGGCACAACAACCAGGGTCATATGAGGACAGCATATACAAATTATTTCATTACTAGCTTATTAATTTGTTACTATAATAAGAATGACTGTTACAGTAGTGTTGGTGTTTGGGTAAAGGTCTTCTCTCTCCTTGACTTGTTCTATTTCTAGGCATGGATGAATGCCAGTGTTGTGGTGACATGAGGGGCAACATACATCTCCCTCGTTCATTGTTATAAAAGTATAATAATTATACATACAACACCTTAATTACACAACTCATGATTTGATAAGATTGATGAAAACAGTCAAAGACTGCTTTTTTTATCAAGCTTCAGAGAAGTTTCATAATTCAAGGACTTACTAAGTCTGCGCAAAAATCTCTTATGAAATTGAAATCTAAATATCAGATTTTGCTTTGATAGTGTAGAAAGCATTTGTGGCAATAGCTTTATATCAGACTGTAATAAAATCTTAGTTGGTGACATTTTCATCTCTCTTTCTTTCATGATGTGAAGATGAATATGATGTCTGGAAGTCATAATGACATGCTTGAAGCCATTGGATTCCAGAGTTTGTGTTGAGGTCATCCCTAAAGTCTTTTTAAGGTTAGAAATTAAGAGGGACCCCAATTCTATTCAAGAAGGCTGCTCAAGCCTTACAAGACCCCATTTAATCTGAAAAGCATTCCATTTAGAAAATACACAGCATAAGCTCTGCAAGGAATTATTGCATAGTCATAACAGTTTATATGTAATAGCCGTCTATCAAGTGAGATCAAAACCTTTTTCTCAATTTTACTCACTCCAGACTTTACAATTTTGTTAGCCCTAGGCATTTCCTGTCCAATGAAATTATCAGAGGGGGAATTTCAGGTATCAACACAGTATTCTGATATGAAAAGATGCAGTAACAATGGAATTAAAGAGAAAAGATGCCATCAAATATCAGAGGTACTTAGTAAAACTTAGTAATCTTGAATAAAGCATGTTTCATGGACTAAACACCCAGTTACCATAGACTGGATATAGGTAGGGATGACAAAATTTCCAAACGTTGAAACTTCTCATGAAATGGACTGTGGAAATGGCTAACTTGTAAGGCAGCTATTGGTGTTGTAACACAGATAACAGATTAGTTATGATGAACTACATCATGAAACTGTCAAAATTTCATCACAGCTCATATAATGATGTATCAAATAATAGAAACATATTTATAATCACACGAGACATGTTTTTTGATGAAGACATTTTGTTTTCTGGAATCAGGTACCTGTGGTTTTCTGTTTCTTGACCATTTGTGTTGTTTCTGTTGGAGGAATGAAGGCCTGAGCTCGCTTCTCCTTCTGTTTTGTCTCATTTTCTCTTTGTTTTTCCTGAAACACGTTTAAATATCCATTGTATAACAAAAATGTACTGCTATGTTAAGGAGCATTATCTATTGTTAACAATTTTTATACAGATACCGTTTAGTGCCTTGGTGACTCTTAAAAAAACATCACATATATAAATTAATTTTTTTTTTTCAGGCAGAATTACATATATGGGTCATGCTTCAAACTTTCAAGCAACAAGATATATCAACAGAACTAAAATAAACCCCCCTTTCCTTGAGAAGGCGGTACTTACTTTCTTCTCCTGCTGGGCCTTAGCCTTCTTCTGACTTGCCTGGAGGAAGTACTCCCCGCTCGCCAGCTCCTTGTCAATCTACAAAAGCAGAAGACAGCAATTAAACATAATACTTTCCTACTTATTCCAATGTTCGTTATGCAGCGGATTAAAAAAATAATAAAAATAATACTTGATTCCAGTCATTTATTTTCAGGTAGAATGAGGTTGATGGCATTCAAATTTGGAGAATTGTGACAGTATTCGATATAATTTCACATCTATGTTACCAAAATTTCTCAATTACTTTTTCAACAAAATATTTCTAAGATTTAAACCATATTGTAATTGAAGAATATAACATTTCCAATAATGAAATTTTCATCTGATTTCATTTTCTTGACATTAGAAAATTCATAAAGATAAATTGGGAGAATAAAATTGTATTTCAAATTGCCCTGTCAATGTGATAAATCATTCATATCTTGATATTGTGAGAAACACAGTTTAATTGCAAGATCAATATATTGAAAATTTTGTATATAGTTGTCTTATTTAGAAACAATAAAATAGGTTAATCTTTTATATACCTTGCTCTCCACTTGTGGAGGAGGGAATGGTGTGTAATCTTTCTTGATCCTCTTCTTTTTTGGTTGCTTTCTCTTGCTAATAGTTTTAGATTTAAATTTGGGTAAGAACCTGTCCCAGCTTTCCCCTTTCAACTTGGGATCTTTGGCTAATTCTTTTTTAATCATAAGTGTCTGTAAGAACAATATGTAAGAATACAGTTAGAAAATGTTAAATGTTGGGTCATAAATTTACTTAAATAATGTACGAAATCAAATGTCCACTGTTGAGTCATTACTTTTCAAGGGGGATAATTTTTTGGTAATTTTGCAGGTACTCAATCCACAAATCTTTATGTCCACATATTGTTTTAAATGGTACAGGTATAAGCAGATTTATTGAGCTATATCCACAAAATCAAATGTCCACGAAAAAGAATTATTTTGAAAAACCATGAAAATTGAACCTCACCAAAAAGTATGTTTTTCAGTATCTGGCACCATAAATAACAAGATCACCTGAAACCTGAACTTTTACAGATGTGGTCAGATGATACAACAGTTAATGACTTGCCTTACATCAAGACTACGTCAAGGGTTTTAATTCCCCAATCAGACGTAGACAACAATGAAATCACTGGCTAAGCCATTTGAGTTTTACCTTGGTATTCTAACTTGTGGTAACTTTTTTGAGTAAAATTCCTTTCAAGCTTTTAATTAATTCAGAATTCATTAATATAAGCAAGTATACCTTGATTAATTTATGTAAAATAAATCAATCTTATATTTCATGTACAAAATTCTGAGAACTTTCTACTGAACAAAAAATCCATCAAAGTATAAAATATGTGATATTAGCTTACTTTTATGTTGTATATTGGATGGATGTTTTTCATAGTGTCTTCAACAATTTTCCTAACCTGAAAAAGAAAGCGATGCAGAACATGAAACAACATGTATAAACACAATTAATTTCATTGCAGTGATATTATCAGCCAATCTGGTCACAGCAGCCTCATTAAATATCTGCACAATTTGCTGCTTATCAAAACCTAGACGAGGGATAAAGGTAAGAGGTGTATCCACCGAGTTTCATCAAAATCTGACCTGTCCTTCAAAAGATATCATGCGGAAAGCAGCATCCAAGAGTGATTAAAGAAATCAGCCAATCAAGTCACTGCAGCCTTATCAAGTATGCGTGAAATTCACTGTTAATCAAACTTAGGCAAGGAATTAAGGTAACAAGTGTCCAAACCAAGTACCATAAAAATTCAACCAATCTTTCAAAAGAGATGCAGAAAGCAGCATCTGGATGGAGGGAAACCATCAGAATAACCCCTGCCAACTTTGTTGGGCAGGTATAAAAAGGAAATCCTTATCTGTGATCAACAATCTGGATATGTTAATTTTTGTGTGTCATATATGATAATGCATGTGGAAAATTACTGTAACCTGTAAACTAAAATGGCTCCCTGCCTGAGTTGATGCGATTAATGTTACTTATTTCGTAATTCTGAATTAACTTAGAGTTATCAAATAACACACCCATAAAAAAACTGATACTGAAAAACCGGATTTTACTGACTGTGTCACAACCATCACTGCCATTTCTGCTTGCCATCATGTGTTTGTGATAAAAAAGAATTAAAGAAGTGGTAAAGCTGGACATTGGAAATCAACTGTGAATATTGAGATAGCACAGAAACCTAACTAGACGTGTATAAAAAATGTAAAATCAATAGAAAAATTAATGTTTTATGGAAATTTCCCTTTAACAATGACGCCACATTTTCTTTTTTATAAAAATGTTTGAGAAATCTTTGTATCAAAACTTCTGGAACACTTAATCAATTCATCATTTGATTCATTTTTTTCCTCTGTGATGGTCACTTTCACTATTTCATAGAACCAAGCCATAAACAATGTCTTATAAACAGAAAAATTGTTTCATTACCTTTGACATTATAGACATACACAAACATATCTACCTGACATACATATCTACATTTTTGCAGGTAAAAATTAAAAAAATACCTTTCACAGAAGAGAGAGACATATCATAAGCATATACTGAGTGATAAAATTTTGTTATGTACTAAATTTCTCCAGCAATAAAACAAATGTCTGGTAATTAATAGGCTATTCAAATATATTATACAACTGTTTGGCCTACCTTCTGACGTTAAGCACAAACTAATGTTTTATCCCCTTCTCTTGGCTTAGTGCAAAATAATCATTGTACAGAAGTTTAAGAAGCTTCCACAAAGACTTACTTCTCTGAGTCCTTTGTAGGGTCCCAGGGCAGAGACTGTGTTTCCCTGTACCATCACATAGCATCCAGTTAGTAATTCTATAGCCTGCAAGTAATAAATCCATCTTTGATCAATAGCTGCCTTTTAAGTTATCCATTTCCAATGTTTGTTTGGTAAGTTTCAACCTTCATAAATTTTGTTAGCCCTGCCTACTTCTGGTCATATAGTTTCAGCATATTCTATACACACGTCTTAAAATAATAATTCTTAGATATTAAAGGTATAACATACAGTTATGACTGTATCTCTTTTGATAGTTGATGGCATTTTTTCTCTTTGTTTCCATTGTTACAGCATCTGTTCACATAAGAATACTGTGTTGATACTTGAATTTTCCCCATTGCTAATTTTCAATGGACAGGAAATGCCTGGGTCTAACAAAATTGTAAAGTCACATGACTGAGATGACTGAAAGTCAAGAAAATTTACGTTCCTTTTTTTTTTTAAACTTGAAATGCAGCTATACACTATTGTTTTCAAAGGCACATCTCACCTTTAATTACATTATCTATTTATTTTCACCTTTAATTACATTATCTATTTATTTTCACCTTTAATTACATTATCTATTTATTTTCGCCTTTAATTACATTATCTATTTATTTTCGCCTTTAATTACATCATCTATTCATTTTCACCTTTAATTACATCATCTATTTATTTTCACCTTTAATTACATTATCTATTTATTTTCACCTTTTATTACATCATCTATTTATTTTCGCCTTTAATTACATCATCTATTTATTTTCGCCTTTAATTACATTATCTATTTATTTTCACCTTTTATTACATCATCTATTTATTTTCGCCTTTAATTACATTATCTATTTATTTTACAACAAAGATTAGACTATATATATATATAATGTTTGATATGTTTGTTGTCCTATCTTAATCATTCCAGGACTTTAAACTAACAAACATATATACAAACATTACAAACCTTGAGTGTGGAACCATCTGGACCTATGAGTCGATGTCTTCGTTTGACAAATCTTTCCTTATTTCTCACCAGAGACCCAATTTTTATGATGTCACAGGCAACATCGTCTTCTGTGATTCGTATGGCCTGAAATGAGAATTGTATAACAATATGTTTGAATTCCTTTGTAATTTTCGGGTGCTTTCAAAGAATCGAATAGAAATTTTGAGAAATGATAAAGGGACAGAGAGCTGCACAGATGAGTTACATGATTGGACAAGTGAATGAAAAGATGGAAGACATACACTGTATATTGTGCTGATTGTAGAGTTAAGAACACAAAAGGCAAACCTTCTTTTTTATCTATGTTTTCACCTGTTCATATGGGACACTCCTGGCCAGTAGCTTAAGGAGATCGCGTGCTTTAACGATGATGTAGGGGTCCCACGTTTTTCTGGTAGTAGCTACTGTCATGCTGCCTTCTACCACATCGAGTTCTGCTTTAATGTGCTTAAAAAATGAACAATATAAAATAATTACAATGTTCACCATAGCAACATAAACATAGTGTCCAAAATAGAAATGTCCCCGCCCTCCAAAAAAAACCCAACAAAAAACAAAGAAAAAGCAAGTTTCAAAGATTTACATATATATAGATAGATATCCCTGCACCTCTGTCAGATAAGCAAGTGGTGCAGATGGTTGTCTGTTATTAATGTATGAACTACATTTTGAACCAATTAGCAGTGGTTGTCTTTAATGCAATTTGACCCTATTAACCTTGACCTACAGACATTGGTCTGGGGGCTTCATATTGCAAACCAAGGCCCTGGTGTAGAGTTTGATCCCATCTTGCACTGCGTTCAGTGATGAGCAACAGCTAGCCTACTGCAAGGAGACCCCACCTCAAAATGACTGTCTACTCAGCATCAAAATCTGATTTGGTGTGAACCTTAATGTCAGATTATGGAGAGGTTCATGTGATACAATGAATACCAAAATCATAGTTATTCTACAGCATGATATACTTACATATTCACCCAAGGTTTTCTTCACAAGTGGCCAGCATTCTCGGAGATATTTTTCTCTATATTTTGGGAATAAAGTTGCAAAGGAGGATTCAGCCAGAACTCCATGTGGGTTATCCTCTTTTGATATGCCTGGATCTTTCCATCCTTCGGGAACCTCTAGAAGGTCTTTTTCCACATTCTTCTTGCCCCATGTCTTTTCTAAAAGTGACATGATTTGTAAAAGTAAATAACAATAATAAAGATAACAATGTATTTTTGAATCATTTCCCAAATAGGTGTAGTCGTTCATTCTCACCACCTGTGAGATTTCTGGCATACTGTGTATTGCAGATTCATGAAGACAACATCTGTGTGATTTTATTGAAATAACTTTATTAATGACAAAGCAATAAAAAGCTTTAGACTGATGATCATGACATACGTAGGGACACCAAAAATGACATATTATAGCATGAGTACTTACTAACCACTAACACCCAGTCTGTTAGATGGGACTTAAAATGGTGTCCCATGTGAGAATATCCAACTCACATAATAGAGGTCCTACTGTGTAATGTTGATGAAGAGTAGGGGTATATGCGCTGACACAGAGGTCTGGTAATGATACAGGGTTTTCCATAATTTTGTTAGTAGTAGGCTGTGTAGTGAAAGTAGGAGGCCGGCCTGCCGTGTACGTGTAGTCGTGTACGGAACATTATTACGGAACTGGATTGGTGTAGACGGCCAAATGATCAAAGTAACCGATCAAATTGACCGGCGACTGGCTCTTATGGAAAATCCCGATGATATATCATGACTAGACAGGTTCACATAACAAGTATTATTAGGAGACTAGTTGGACTTAGAAAAATACAGTCTATGCTGTATACTTGTGGTCAGAATTAAGTTAGGACAATATCAGGCCATGGAGTCATCCTCTAAAACGTAGTATAAGGTTATCAAAACACCTGATTCCATCTCTATGCTGTAATATTATCATCACTGACCATAACGTTGTCTGTTGTTTACATACAGTAGATCAGTGCGTGGCATTCCTAACATGTGCTACAAGCGCATTTATAGGAAAATAACAATCGATAATCAGAGGTTTTGGTAACTGGCATTCTTACTTAGTTTACAGGAAATGTTGGATTATTTGGTATTTAATTAGTCTACATCTACTGATAAAGAATAATGATGTTCCTCACCCTTTTTATCGTCCATGCTGTTTGTCTGCAGTTAAAATGGCGGAAGTAGGTGGCGCATTGAAATCTTACTCGAACCTCTTATGACTTATTCATCCAACTATTCTTTTACGTTTATCGGAACACTTCAGCACTAGCCAATTTCTGCTCTCGTATACGGATGTAAACATCCGCAAGCACGTGGATCGATCGAACCAGTCAAAACCAGTACCTGCCTGGTAGAAAGCTGGTTTCGAATTGCCCAAGAACGTGCACGTGATGACAGTAGAATCGTCTGTTGATATCAACCATGCAGGTATGTATATTTATTTCAAATCACAATTACAAATACTTCGATTCGGAAATGTACATGAACTGTGCATATCTGAAGAGATCGACCATCCTTGATTTTAGATTAATGAAAGTAGCCAAGCACATCTTCTCAACTTTGAGTGGCCTCACATCTGTGTTTCTGTAGAGAAATAATTCATTTAAGCCTATAATATATTCTTTAAGTATATATAAGTATATATAATAATGAAGTAATAGCGACAGTACGCACGAACGAATTGAATATGAATTACATTACATACATTGAACATAAAACAAATACAAAGTTAAATATGTATAGCTCATTTGACACGGTGAATGTTGAGTGCATGTATTCTGTGCATCATATAGATTGGCACACATTCCCAACTGAACCCACGGTCCATTTATATATGTGTGTATGATAGTACTATAATATAAAACATGTACGTATGGACCACGGTTACATACATGTACTGTATATCGGACTTGAATTGGAAATTTGTGCCAAGTCCCAGTACTGTGCATGAAAACATTTAATTCTAAGGTTGTGGAAGAAATGTTCTGTGGGGAACAGTTTTTACATGTTGAGAAAAAAAAGCAATAAAAGTCAACAAGATCTTCCTTGTGTTGATAATACTTTGTAGAGGTCAGACAGGTAACTGCTATCTTTAGATGTTGTTGGGATGGTTGTGTTTTCTGTCTATGCAATCGACCTATTATCAATGTACTTAGTGACCCATAGCTCTGTACTACCATACTGTTTCATTGTCTGCTGAAAAATACATGTTCTTCATTAAATGATGATGATGATGATGATGATGCAATCTACATGCAGATATATGTAATTGTTGTATTTTCAGAATTGATGTTTTGAGGATAATAAAATGATGTTTTGTTTTCTGCTATAATTGATCTAGGATATTGTTATGGTAAACAGTGACGTATATATCACATCTCTGTGGTAAAGTAGGAAAAAGTGTGTGTATGTAACCCTTTTATAATTTGGTCTTATGAAATGTTATATTGTGAAACATCTTTGAATAATCAAAAAATAAAAACTAAAAAAAAGTAAATTGTTTACTGATTGTCTATATTTGCAGTCTTACTATAAAGTCAAAGTCATTACTTCGTATTCAAGTCAGGGAGTCATGGGCTTACTATAGGACAATGGAGTAACACTCAGTTTTCTTTTATTTCCCTGTTTATTATTTACATGTTATTTAAGATATGGCTCTTCGTTTCACATTTTTTCACTGACATCACTAGATATGAATTCTAGATTAGGAAATATGTGTGTAAATAAACACTATTAAAGAGACACATTTTAAAAAAAATGCAAGGATGTTTTTTACAATGTACATACATTGTATGTCAAGAGCATGTTCAGGTCACATGATAGATATTTCGTTCTCAAGGCTGTTGTCTGATCATGGTCACAAATAACCTTGATTTCCTCACCTTTAAATCTTATCAGTTGATAACATGTAGCCTTGATTTATACAAAGCTTTCAGTTACATTAATCTCTTTTAGAGTGAAAGGACAAAGTTGAAATTCATAGACCATGTTATGGAATTTACATGTATAGGGTTACAAATTTAATCAGTGTATTTACAATAATGCCAACTCATTTGATTTCATCAGATTAATCTGATATTAGCCATAGGATTCATCTGCTTGACCTCATATACTTCATGAATTAAAACGTATTTTAACAATTTTGAATTAATTTAAAGATCTAATTTGATTAAAATAATGTAAAAACATAACAAAAAACACCATCTAAATATATACAGATGTGATAACTATGCGACAGAATTGATTAAGTCTTTTCCCTTTATAAACCATGTCCCTATTTACCTTGATTTTGATTGGCTATGACTAGCTATTATATGACAAGAGGATGGCGATATATTACTCAAAAACATATGTTTTTAAATATGACTCATTTAAGTTGTGAATGATTTTAAGTCTGAAGAATTTATGCTATAAGAGAGAGTTGAGTGAGTGATAGGGAGTTGGCTTTTTTCAATTGTTTTGAGGTTGATGCAATGTAAAAATTTTGCATTTACAAAGAGTTTGTACATTTGTGTATCATGTATGACAGATTTCCGTCTGTTTGTTGAAGTTGTAGTGCTCATGCCGAGGAGGTCAAGTAGACATTCATAAAATTTCCTTTGTCAATTACAACTTAACGTCAATTACTGGTATATCCATGTACCACAGTGCATAGCTTTTAACCTTTGGACTGTCAGCAACAACATATAACTGAAAAAAATTATTTTAAGCTCACCTTGTCATATACTCTGAGGGCCAATGAAATTGTTATATCATCCTACGGGTTTGTGTTGCTGCCAATCATCCATCACCAATTAATTTTTTGTTGGAAAACTTCTTCTCATGAACCTCTCGACCAATTTTAACAAGTTTCACTTAAGTAGGTGTTTTTTATTCAGATTTGTGAATTCAGAGAAAATTAGCTGACTCCTGTTCAGCCAGGATCACTTGTTTAATAACTTTCATAGGAAAGATTAAAAAAAAAATTCTCAAATTAATTCTTCTTAAAAAACTGGAAGACATTCAGTCATATTTGAGCTGCTGAAATGTAAAATATACTCAAATTAAGTAATCATATATTTGTGATCTTTACATGTCTTAAAATGGTTTCTTTAAAAAAAATACTTAAATAAATTGGAAATTCAGTCTAGCAAAGAAAAAGATAAAAAGCAAAGATAATTGAAATTCAGTGTACATAGTGTAGCAATTTACAAACCTTTTTTTTGCATTGGAAAAAAATATTCTGATACACCACCTTGGAGCACTGAGCTAACACAATGACCTCAGGTTTATATGTTCTGATATCTTCACATTTAAAAGTCATCGTAAGGACAAGGTCTGGAACATTATCAGCTGATCATGACCATGACCTCACTTGACCTCTTATAAGTTTTCTAACCTGATAAGTGGTGTAATAGGAAAGGATTATCCTTTAGATGGTCCCTAGTCCGCTAACACTGACCATAATCATAGACTCGACCATTTTGAATCATTGCTCATTATGTTCTGATTTGTGGATTCACAAATACAAGCAAGCAAACTGGCTTCAGTTTTTGAGTCTGTGATTAGCCTATGGTTAGTTTTATCAGACTGACAGAGCTAGCTCAATGATCTAGAAGTGTGGTAGATTCCATAAGCTAACAAGTATTCTATTGATTAATACACTGTCTGCATGACACCAGTGATATTACTAGAATGAGAAGCGTGTGACTGGCTCTTCCCAAGGTCGATGTCCCATTATCTCCAAGAACTTATATAAGATGCAGAGGCGCTCGGCACAAATATGGCTCTTTCAATATAAGCTTGGTACTTTTAAATGAACCTCTTGGTTGAGAATGGGTGACAAATCCCTGTGATAATTCAGATAAATAGGTTGAGTGAGAGTATAATTTAGGACACTTTATATGAAATGTCTACACGTAGAAGCTCAAAGCATGTTCAGAGTGAGTATTTGATTGAGGGAATGATTATAAGATAGATATTATTGTTCTTTATCATATATGTTATGAATGCACATTGGTAAGTAATGTATACAGTGAAGTATGTTACTTATTTTGAGAAATCTGTTTGGGATGTATGTATACTTGGTGAAAGTATATGATGTAGATTTTGATTCCCCCACCCCCTTCAAAGACCTATGTTTTATCTTATGTGCATATGATTATATACATACATGGCTGTATTTTAGTGCCACTGGCTACATTTACAGTCTTCATGCATGCTGCAAGTTACAATTTCAGTATCATAATCAGGGGATTGGACTTGAAGATCTGGGTTTAAGTAGATTGAACTTCAAAATTAGCCTCTAGAATTGATATGATCTTTCAAAAATGAGACTTAAATTCAGACAGTTTAATTTCCATAGCAAAAATTGTTTTTGCCAGTATTGGTTCATTTATGCGTTGATCTATTTCGATACATTTTAAGAGAAAATTTTGGTTAATTGGTTTTAATTGGTGTTTGATCTTTATCACATACATATATGTGACTGCCTATTGCTGGGTCAAGGCAATACTCTCTAGCAGATTTTTTTTTTATGCCAGGAACAAAATCTTGCTTACAACATTAAAAGATTGATTTAAAGGAATGTTAACTGAACAGATTTATAGCATATTACTAAAGCAGTTTTTCCTTACATTTCGATCGGTTTTATGCATTTCGTTACAAACCTTAAGTACGGTTACCTGCAGTATATATGTCAAAGAAGGTCATTCATAAATCTGTGTAGTATTCAACTCTAGTTTGAAGCAAGGCACAAAGTGTGTGCATGTTAATTACATTAGTCATAACTAATTATTATAATTATTGACTTTTTTATATCTTGCAGAATCTCGACCTGGAGGCATACACTTAGCATCAATGGTGTTCCTGCTTGAGAGAGAGAACTGGAAACCGAATACTCAGGGACTTGATAGCTATTCAAGACCAGAAAGAAAGTCAATATTTGCTAAAAAAAAATTTACATAGATAAAAAAAAAATAATAGACTGAAGTTCTCCAACAAAATGCCAATCAAAATGTCTCCACATGTCAAGACCAGCGATCATATCGAGGCACAGGATGAAGTCAAGCTGCTTGAAAAGAAATCCTCAGACTCCAGTATGTCCAGTTACTCAGGAATAGGTCGGAGAGGAACAGAAATAAGTATATACATATGTGAGGATGGTCACAGATTT